ATACTTATTTCATCTAAATTAACACTACAAAGTGAAATCAGATAGTAAATATTCATAGCTTAAGTTTTTTTAACCCACCTAAATTAACGCGACAAAATAACAGCATTAAATGTTTAAACTTACTAAATCAATTATTTATATAAGTAATCTAACGATTTTAAATGCTGTGATTTACAGTTACACAATTTAAACAATTATTTATATAGTAATCCAGTCATGTTGTGATTTACAGTTACACAATTTACAAAATTTTTTATATGGGTAATCTAAACGTCACCCACGTGAATCCAACGATTTTCATATAACCAACAATCAAAACATATATTTGTAAGAACTTACGCGTTTTTTTCTTCTTACGCTGATTACGATTGAGAGAAAGTAAGAAATAAACTTTTTTATTAACAAAATCCTTGCTGCCATATTACGATTTATTTAGTTGAGCTACTAGTTTTGCGAGTACATAATAATATTGTGCCTTTATAGAGGGAAATACATCTTTTTGAGTCATAATTGTAATGAAAGGTTTTTTTTTGATGAGGGTCTATCGATTCTGAAGAAGGAATCTATTATGTCTTCCTTCATTTAACTTTTCATGCATTGATAGTTTCATTGTAAGGAATATATTCTTTCACATATGTGAAGTGCCCTGTATCACCTTTTATGAACGTTTTATAGTAAGAAATATATTCTTTCACATTTGTGAAGTGCCCTGTATCACCTTTTATGAAGTTTCATAGTGAGGAATATATTCTTTCACATTTGTGAAGTGCCCTGTATCACCTTTTATGAATGTTTCATAGTAAGGAATATATTCTTTCACATTTGCGAAGTGTTCTGTATCACCTTTTATGAAGTTTCATAGTGAGGAATATATTCTTTCACATTTGTGAAGTGCCCTGTATCACCTTTATGAATGTTTCATAATGAGGAATATATTCTTTCACATTTGTGAAGTGCTCTGTATCACCTTTTATGAATGTTTCATAATGAGGAATATATTCTTTCACATTTGTGAAGTGCTCTGTATCACCTTTCATGAACTTTTAATGTCAGATGAATTGGTTCAAAAGCGTGTATATCACCTATATCGTAATGAAAAGTTTTAAACTTTATCATGAAGCATAAATATTGATCGTATTGCCTTTATGTGAGGAAATATATCCTTTTGAGCCAAAGATTTACTGATTCTGATGAAGAAATCTGTTATGTCTTTCTTCATTTAACTTTTCATGCATTGATTTTCATAGTAAGGCAATATATTCTTTCACATTTGTGAAGTGCCCTGTATTCGCCTTTATGAACTTTAAATGCCAGATAAATTGGTTCAAAAGCGCATATATCTCCAATATCGTAATGAAAAGTTTTAAACTTTTGAAGCATGAAAACACATGAGTGCTTTTGACAATTATTTAAATCTTTGCTATGGCATTGCAAATATATTAATTAAATTATTAGTCTTGTGGTTTATATTCTTCTATTAATATTTATTCCATTACATATTAGCCCTCGTAATTAAATACCGTCAGACCTCCTTAAATGCCTCTCTAAATGCAACCTTTAATTCTGGCCCAAATATATACTAGAATTCCACAAATACAAATTTTCCTATTGTTCTCTAAATGCAAGCTATCAAAAGTCTGGTCTCTATGAATTGCATTTAGGGAGTTTTGACTGTAGTATCCTGGTAAATTTACGGTTCGAGGGGTCATATTATTAAGAGAATAAAAATATTTGATCTTTAGTGTTTGTGGCGTTGAGATTTTGTATTTGTTTTTGCATCATACTCGAAGGGGAGTTCAAAATATAATTAAAGATACTACTGTAAATAATAAAATATTATAGCGCTTGAACTCTATACAAATCATAAAGAAAGGGCTGTTTTTTGTATGAACGGTTACTGTATCTCTATTCCAACATTCTTTTCGTCAGATTTATATAACATCGTGAGAGTGTTCTTGTTGGCTGTATTGACCTCTATCTAAAGTTTCTTGTGCAATATATGATAAAATTCCATAAATTCATGTCTTTCTGCATATAAAATTATATTCGCTGGTATTGAAAGCCCAAATCTGCAATCTAAGCATTATGTAAATAATTTTGTAGAATATTATCATTAAGCAAATTTCACGACAATGCAATAATGTTAATTTACCATTCTATT